CAGCGACGGAAAGTTTGCGACAGCCTCCATGGGCTCTCCTGTATGCAAATGATGTGGTGTTGATGGCAGAAAACAGAAAAACTTGGAGAAGAGGTACAGAGATGGAAGGACAAATCAGGGCCGTACGACTTAAGGCTCAACACACAGAACAGAGTATATGCAAGTGGGAGGTCAAAATTCAAAAACCATATACGTCGATGAGCCAATCCAGAAGACGAATCTTTCAAGTACCTAGGATGTCGCATCTCCGGCGAAAGAGGATTTCATGAGCTAATGGCCAGGGCAAACGCAACTTGGATGGAATGGAGAGCCTTTACCGGAGCTCTATGTAATAAGCAAATGCCAATGCAATTCAAGTTCCGAAAATATGGTGCTGTGTTCCGTCCAACAGCTATGGCAGTGATGGCCAATCACAAGAAATGAAGAATATAAGCTTAGTGTCGACAAGAATGCTGCGGTGAAAATTGGGTATCGGCCGAAGATGAGGTGGATGTAGAGAATCAGAGCCGCCTTGAAAGAGCTTAAGATAGATAAACATCATGCCTTGCAACGAGAACACTGGAGACATTTGAGTAAAGCAGACCTTACGTAAGCGGGAAAATGAAGATCAAAAACTCTGATTAGCTACTCCCAAAAGAAATTTTGTCGTGGTGCCAGAAGCACCACCGTCTGCCTGATAATCACTAGGTGGTCCCTCCATATAGGTCAGCTATTACCTGTGGTGAACTTGGCACGCTTTGGCAAGACTGCTAAGTTTGGGGAAAAATCTATTGTTTGTACAGCATGTAAAAAAGAGAAAAGAAGGAGAAGGAGTTCGACGTCTCCGGTTCCCCGGGCCTTGGTGAGAGTAGGCCATGCCAGAAGCACCACCGTCTGCTTATTCAGTCGCTAGGTGGCTCTCTGATCCACATAAGGTCAGCGATTGCCTGTGGTGAAAGCTTGGCAGGGTTCTGGCAAGGCTTCTAATGTTTGGGGAGATATCCTCTTCCTTGCCTGTACAGCATGTAAGAGAAAAAAAAGCCCTGCACGCTGGCACATCTACGGCGTCGGATGTCATCATGAGCGGTGTTGGGTTGCACAGGGCCA